AAGTGTTGCACGACTTTTCGAACAACCTAATAAAATCCATAAACAAACCTTTCCCTGGAGTGAGAGGTAATTCATGAACTGCACATGGGAGCAAGTCGAGAGGTGACCCACATAACTGGGACAAAATAAATGGAAGTTTATCCGTTGTTGAAACCTGCAGTGCATAAAAGTTTAACTCCAAAAAAACTACATAGAAAGAAATCATACCCTGAATTTGTTCCAGATGACAGCCGCGGGTGCATCAATTACAATATTTTGTAGAACCGCTATCAAAACATGAATAACAGGTCGAAAAGCTGAACACTGCGCGAGTGCTGTGAATGCCTCCGCTCCTTTCGTAACACTGAAAAACGAGAGGTTAATTTGAAGAAAATGCATCGAAAAACCACAATATTCAACGTTAGTAAAAATTCACTGAAAAACTGGTGTTAACGTGGTCGGGGTGGGGGGAGCGCGCTGCCCTAAACCTCTCGCGGAGACACTAACCTCCTAAAATTATCACAAGAGTGCTGACGTGTGGGCAGAAGCGGACCACAGGCGGTATAGGAACCCGCAGCTTCCGTATTCCGTGCGGTTGCGTTCCCTATTACGCTAGTGGGACCACTTGTACCCTCTCGGCTCAATGGCTACCTCCTAATTCTCCAGTCTCAGTATTAAGGGAGCGCAGCCGACTTGAGTTGCCGCGTGGCCACTCCCAACTAGGTAATGCCGAAAAAGAAGAGTAAATGTGAGAGAGGGAATGATAAAATACATCAGCAGCAGAGGGTTCATAAGCATAGGAAACATAGGAAACTGTACAATCTATAACTTCACAAATCATTACAGCTGTAACGAAACTCACGTGTTATTCTGCTCATCATATTCCATTTTATACAATCGGAGTTTCATGGCAATCATATGAGCTAGCCGCCGAGCGAGGATCAAATTGTTGTTGATATGTCGCAAAAATTGTGTCAAGAACAATAAATAAACACTGAAACTTTCAAACGACAAATAAGAGAATGTTACAGGCAAAGGTTTTCAGATAAACATACCGTAACTGTGGTAGCTTTTCTTCATTTTTCACTCGGCGAACGAAATAATCAGAAAATATATCACATAACTCGTTCAAGAAATCTTGACGCTCAATCACCCCGTCCTAGAATGGCCGGCATTAAGTAAATGCTCTCACTAATAAGTACTACAATAAATTTCAAAAGCTATGTGAATGTCACCGCGTTCAGACTTCGTGACTGGATCGCGCGACCCTATCGCTCGACCAAATCGCGCGACTATGACCAGGTACGCTACCTCCTAGTGGTGCACCGCTGCGACGGCAGAATTCAAACTAGGCCGCGTTCACACCGTGCCAGTTTGAATTGTGCCGCTGCGGATGTGCATCGTTTGGAGCACAGCCACGATCGCGGTGAGGCGCCCGCGATCGTGGCTGCGCGATCATCGCGAAGTCTGAACGCATGCTGATGAGGAATAGTGAGCAGGATGTAACAGTGAATCCGGAACAACTCAGCCATTCACAGCAAAGGAGATCTTTTTCTACTAAACAGTGAATTGGGTAGCTTATAACAGTTATTAAATGCTATACGCTCTGATAAATTAAAACCATAAATAATCAAAACAATACAAACGAGTACTCACCTCAAATGCTATTTTACTCAAATTTGATATGTATAACCAACGCTCCTTATAAATAGGGCACGTTGAGAGATCATTGATGCACCACATACGACTAGTTAAATCTTTAATAGCCTTCACGAATATTTCCTTGTACTCTAAAAATAGACATTTACATGGAAATCCTGCAATAACGATAAGTTTTCATGAATAAATGTAACTTTCAACAACCTGCAGAGAATAAATCACTAATCGATTTCTTCTGTTTGGTCGTATTTGGGCTTCCAGTAAGGGCAGCAGTAACTTTTAGATACCACAACGCTCGAAAAGGCGGTATCCTTGAAATAGTGATTTTGATTTAAATTGTTGGCAAGTTTAATTAATTTGAGCACCCACCTGTAATCGCACAGATACTCGAGACCATCTTCGCGGCGTTTTATGGTCGGGACCTTCTTCGCTAACTGAGAAAGTGCCTTCC